AGGAACGCTGTGTGTACATGAAGGCTTTCCCCAGGCAGGAAGGCTGTGTGTACCTGAAGGCTTTCCCCAGGCAGGAACACTGTGTGTACATGAAGGTTTTCCCCAGGCAGGAACACTGTGTGGTCCTGCTCCCTTCACTCATGACTGGCAGAGTCAGAAACCCATGGAATGGTTGAAAGCCCATAGTTGAAATGCAATGCAGATGGAATACTGCAACCAAACTCCACCCATGGCTCCTTTTTCCACAGATTTCTGCTTTGGCTTAAGACTGGGAATGTTGGGGCTGGGAAGGTGGCTCAGTAGTAGAGCGCTTGCCTTGCATGCCTGAGGCCCTGGGTTCAATTCTTCAGTACCACATAAGCAAAAAGAAAAAAGCCGGAAGTGACGCTGTGGCTCAAGTGGTAGAGCGCTAGCCTTGAGCTGAGGGACAGCCCCCAGGCCCAGAGTTCAAGAGTTCAGGCCCCACAACTGGACCCTCCCCCCCCAAAAAAAAATTGGGAATGGCTAGTGACTTCGCTTGGTAAGACTTGAGTCTGTGAATACCCATTGAGTTTACTTTTAGATTTATAGGCACATTCTAATTCTTACAAATGGGGGAAGGTTTGCAACCTATGTTTCTTTAGGTCTGGCTTACTTAGCTTAATGTAATTTTTTCCAAGTCTTTCCATTTCCTTATGAATAGGGCAGTACCATTCTTTCTGATGGAAGCACAGAATTCCATTGTGTATGTACACCACATTTTCTTGATCCATTCATCCACTGAGGGGCATTTGGGTTGATTCCATATCTTAGCTGTGGTAAACAATGCTGCAGTGAACATGGTTGTGCTGGTAGCCTTAGTGTGTCCTCATTTGTGGTCATTTGGATAAATGCCTGGGAGTGGGATTTTCTTTTCTTTTCTCTTTTTGCTGGTCTTGGAGTTTGAATGCAGGGCCCAGGTGTTGCCTCTGAGCTGCTTTTGCTCAAGAACGGCAGCCTGTCCCCTGAGGCATAGCTCCACTCTTGGCTTTTTTAGTGGTTAACTGGCGATAAGAGTTTCCCAGACTGTCCTGCCTGGACTGGCTCTGAACACTGATCCTCAGTTCTCAGCCTCATAAGTAGCTAGGATTACAGGTATGAGCCACTGGCACCTGGCTTGCTGTTTATTTGTGTATCATTTGTGCAAAGGGGTTTCTCCATAGCATTTTGCATGTGCACACTTTATCATTTAGATTAGCCCCTTCTGTTGCTCTAACCCTTGCCCATCGTCCAGCAGCTGGCAGGGAGTGTCCCTATGCACCTTCTTACACAGACATAATGGGCCGTGATGAGCCTATTTGTTGTTAAATTAAAAATGTACCAAATACTCATATTTTCACTTCACATGACCAGGCCTCTCCAGTGGTTAAGGGACAGAGATCATGCAGCAAGTAATTGTTCATGTGAGATGGCGGGAGGAGGTAGAGAACAGGTGAGGTAGCAGCAGTGACCCAGGGCTGACCCAGGACACAAAGACTGTCCAGGTGTTGGGTGGAGCCATGCCTGTGCCATGGGAGAGTGGTGAGTTCTGCCCTCCGAACCCCATAGAATCGCAGGCCGCCTTGGTGTCTACAGGATTCCAGCTGCCTTCCCACCATCCTGACTCACTATTGGTGCCAGGCCCAGGACACAGAGACAGAACATGAGCCTGTTAGCCATAGAGCAGACTTCCACAGCGGAGGGATGGGAGACCGATCCGGGTCCTGAGCAGGTCCTGGTCTCCTCTAGCTAATGCCCGGAGAGTCACTGGGGCAAAGAGCCCCATGGTAAATGCCCGTTGCTATCACCACAGTTAACCCACGCCACACCACCCAGACCCACAGCAACAACAATACAGCTGGGACCAAACCCACGTCCCAGCTCCAGTTTTCTGGAGTTCTCATATTCTTCCTTTCACTGAATGCTTCTGCTTTTCACCAAGGCCTCAGGCATCCAGGTTCCAAAGATCTTTCCAGTCTGGTTCTTCTTCCCTTTGGGGACGCTGGCAGGACCCCGGAAGTACTGGCTATTTCTCTCATGGCCTCACATCCCTAGCACCTCCCTCCAATGCTAGCCCTGCTCTGTCATAAGTGCCCACACACCAGCCCTCCTACTGCCATGTCCTCTAAGTGCCCACACACCAGCCCCTGATTACTAAATGAATGTCTCCACATTAGCAATGGTAAAATCCTTCAGTAAAATGAGGGGACGCCATCTGTTTTCTTGTCTCTTGGTTCTGGTTCTGGTTGGGGCCCTTGCACCTTCCCCTGCAGCATGACCCAAGCCTGCCCTGTGGGAGGAAATGCCCTGGCCTGGAATGATTTGCACACAAGCTGGGTGTGTACCTTCAGCCACTCATGGCCCCAGAGGACTACCAGCCACAGGACCACCAGTTGGAATGTTCTAGAAAAGGAGGCTCCATAAGTGTTGACAGAAAGAATGCTTTATAAAGGAGAAAAGAATTTGGTAGGAACATTCCACTGATAAACACACACCCAGAGGCAGCGATCTCTGTTCCTGCAAGGACCTCTTGGTATTATTTACTGGCAACCATGAAAGCCCTGGACCCTTGGACCTCGAGAGCCCTTGTTAACCTGGATGTGCAGAATGTTCAGACAACTGCACTGAATATGCCATAGCCTGGCTGTGACGGGAAGAAGAAAGAGTGTTCTTCAAGGCAGTTTCCACTTGCGAGCCACCCCTGTGCCACGTGTAATGGCACAAGCCTCTAATGCCAGCACTCGGGAGGTCAAGGCAGGAGAATGACATGAGTTCAGGAGCAGCTGGGCTGCACAGAGACCCTGTCCCCACAGAAGGAAAAGCCACGCTTGGCTCCACAAGCAGGCATGTCTGCACTAGGCCACAAAACGAGTCTGACAAGTCTTCTGATGACTCTGAATTTTACAAAGGCGGTGTATGAACTGTTTCAAGTAAGCCATATAATGTGCCTTACACTGACACAAGATTGTCCAGTGAAGCTGGACGCCCTTGGCTGGAAGATAACAAGAGCTACACACCACAGGCAGCTACCCAAAGTAAAGCATTTCAAGTGAAAACAAAACAGCAGTGTAAAGGATACAGATACTTCTGGCTTTATCTTTTAATGGAAACTCAGAAGTCTATGGAAAATATACAGTAATAGCTGGAGAGTCTTGCATATTTTATAAAAGACTTCTCAGAAGGGTGAGAGCTAGAGGACTATGGTATGAGGCTAACCCCTGTATCAAAGTCCAAGAGACTCCCTCTCTAGCTAGCCAGCATAAAGCTGAGTTGGGGGTGTGGCTCAAGTGGTAGGGCATAGCCAAGCAAGCAAGATGAGCAAGATGAACCCTAAGTTCAAACCCAATATGTGATAGATATGAATTTAAAGAAGGCTGAGAAAACTTGTGTGGATTCGATTTCCACTTCTCTACGAAAGGGAGTAGATACAAAACTCCATTTATATGTGCTCACCCTGAAGACAGAGACAAACCTTGTGGAGATTGGTTACGTGAGGAAGGAGCAGCTGTAAGAACTAGACTACTTTTCTGTAAGAATTGTTAAGTTCTTTGGAGTTTCAATTGATATGTAAAATTGTTCATATTTACCCTTTATGTTTGTATAAGTTTGGAATACCTATCAGCTTCTTTGAACATGTCTTGTTTTGCAGATTTGAATTTGTTTTACTTTGTCTGGCTTTCTATTGAAACTAAGTCCTTAAACACTCCTGTACACCAAAGACAGCAGAGAGGTGGTGCACGGCCAGGCCTAAAGCAGGAGCCTTCACACCCTGAAATGTAACATAGCAAGAAAATAGCCAGAGACAATTGAGATTGAAACTCAAGCATTGATATGTAATATGACTTGCACTTTGTCATAGGTTATACTAGTAGTTGGAGGTTTATTTCCCTTCACAGAAATAGTCCAGCTGATAAGTGAACAAAGAGGGATGAACTCGAGTGACACCATTTTGCAATCCTTAATGAATTCATAGATCTGATATCGATCACCAACAGTACACTGGGCCTCCTGGGTGCAGCTATAGCACATACAGCCTCGGGTCCTCAATAAATGCGCAGTGAAACAATCTGAAAATGGGATGAGAAACTATGGCACAGGTGTGTCATGACCTGTGAGACTGTGCCGGAAAAGTAAAGGGAGGGCTGGGCTTACAGTATGCCTTATGTATATAAAAAGGTGTACTTTCTTATATAATCATAAACTATCTAAAAAGATAAGCAGGAAAGAAAATGCTTGCTCCAGTTGTTTTCCAGGTGGCCAATACACTGTACACAAAGGGATTTTTACAACAGACCCTCTGGATCTTGGAATTTTAAAACTGCCACTATTATTCCCCTATACACAAATCAATCGAATAAAATCATAAATGATCATACCTAACAAAATGAATTGTCCGATCCTAACATAGTGTCAACAGAGAGAATACTTAAGTATTTATGAGAAAAACATCATGCATGCACACTTGGAAATATTTAAGCAAAAAGAGAAGAGAAGCAAATTCAAAATAATTGTTCATACAATTAGGGCTGGGAAGGTGGCTCAGTGGTAAAGCACTTGCCTTGTATATAATTTTGAATACATGACCAAGTACCATTTTATCTACTTTTCATGAGAAAACATGAAGCTTTGTGCTTTTTTTTGTATAAATGCAAGAAAAATAAAGTACTATCACATTCTGGTGATTATCTAGAATTCATATTCCTGATACACACTGGCCACTGTTAGCCATTTACTAACATGGACAGAACCCCAGAGCAGAACCAACCAAGGGTCTCATGGACATTATCAGAAGGAGGAGAGTGAGTGGATGTGGGAAGAGAAGGGAGAAACATCAGGTGGCTGTTTGCTGAGAGCTGAGACCATAACTAAGGGCTCTGTTCACCAGCAACTCAACTCAGCCTTGCAGTTCACTTCCAGGAATGAGAACCACAGCTGGATGAGCAATGGATGTGAACTTTACAAGCCCATCTCCTTTTGCGATAACCCAGGTGCTGGTCACTTACTTTCTGCTTGCCTCGCAGACGTCTGAAATATTGGAGAAGAGATGGTGCCTCTCAGTTTTGGTCATGGTGTCACTCAGCTCTTTAGAATTCTTAAACATTCGTATCAAGATTTCCAGGCTGAGAAGGTAAGAATGTTCAGAGGAGATGACTTCAAAGATTGCCTGGCAAGAAGGAAGAAAACATAAATGCCTTATCATTCAATTGAAGGACTAAATAGCGTGCTTTCTGGGCTGCAAGAATAGCATATTATCTTAAGAAGCAAAATTATTGCAAAAATACTGTCTTTATAGAAAAGAAACTGTGAGTCTATTGTATAGATGCTTTTAAAGAGGAGAGAAAAAGAGTATGACCAGCTCTGTATCCTGAGGTCCGACCTTTGCTGAGTAGAGCTGTGGCAGGAAGTCAGGCATGTCATAAAATCTCAGGGTTAACCTCCAGGTCACCCCTCAGCCTTGCCACCAAAGCACACTGCCGTGGGGTCTGTCAAGACCAGGAGTGTCACACATCTATCCCCTTGCTCTTTCTTGCCTTGTGTGTGTTTGGGAGTGTCACACATCTGTCCCCTTGCTCCCGCCTTGTGTGTGTGCTTTCTCTCTTTGCATTTTAACCCGGCTGGCCTGCAGTCAGGAACGGCAAACACTCTGGTACAACTGGACCTGCCCACAAAGGCTCTACCCAGCCACAGGAATTCTTTTCTCCACACTCAGGCTATGAAATCACTCCGTCCAGTCAGGCAGCCTCCCTGCCCTCAGCGTCTCAAGAAGGAGCAAGGCCCCTCTGCGGGTGCCTTTGGTGTCAGGCCCATAGTGGTTTCACTGATAAGGGGACTGGTAAAATGCCAGCTCTGTCTGTGGACAGACAGACACCAACGCCCTGCATGAGGAATGCATCTAACTTCTTAACTACACCTAATTTGGATTCCCCAAGAACAGCAGCGCAGGGAGCACTCTCCTGGCTGGTGGGTATCACCCTTGCAGGCCTGAGACTCGGGGCCATCTTCGGATCCCCCACTGACCGCCACCCTACTGACCTCTAGGGCTCCTGCCTGCAAACCCCGACCCCTAAAGCAGGGAGGAGGCTGGAGGCACAGATCAGGGGAGGCCTACCTCCCTATGGGTAGGCTGTCTCTTGGGCCTCAGGGCAGTAATGCTAACCTCAGCACTAAGCTCCCCTCTTTCTCTGTGAGCTATTAGAAACCTGGGTCATTCAGGTGCTGGTCTAACCCTCAGCTGTGCCGCAGGTGCCCTATCTGAAGAGTAAATGTCGAGACCTTAGTCTCACTCTGTCAGCACCATTCACCCAAGAAATACTAGGTGACTAGAGAAAGTCCTTCCTTCCTGACCAAAAATCGTGGATGTCAGGCAGTTCATGGATACAAAGACCTTCAAATATTTCCAGCAGCAAAAACTTTTATCTTAAAAAAAAAACCTTTTATCTTTTATAATCAAAGCCAAGATACAAAGACTGACACCCCCTTCTCTACTAAAAAGACCGGATGAATTACACAGAATAGTCCCCATGCAAAAATAAATAAATGGTCATTCCAATAGAGCAAGTTTAATGTGATAATTGCTAAAATATCCTGGAACTCCTCAAAGAGAGAGGTAGGAATAGACAGGACTGATGAAGTCAGATTGGAGGTTATCATTTTTTGTATGGTAAATCTGAATATTTTTAGGATATAACAGAAATTGATAATTCCAAATTGATATGACTTAAAAGAACAGTAGTGTTTGAATGGCCTTAAGACCTTGGAGAAGTTCTTCAATTTGTCCACAAAGAGAAATGTGTATGCCACAATGTCAACAAAAAGGAAGAAGTTACTATCCACCATCCACCACCCAGGAAATAGATACAGAACCTAAGAGGTGATGTTTACAGAATGGAAAACTACATAGTGGTTGGAACAAATGATTAGATGAGCAAACACTGGCATGGGTAAATCTCAAAAGTAATGTTGGATAAAAAAAGCAGAGCATTATGCACAGAGCTGCATCACACGGGAGCCGTAAGTGGGGCCGTACCTCTTGTCTTTTTCTTTCCTCCTGGCTCACTGTCTGTGATAACCCATTTCTTTTCACCTGGAAGAAAAAACAAAATCAAGTTGAACCCACTGACTTTTGGCATTTTTACAGAAGGCCAAAGCTTAACTCTGCTTGTGGAGAAGGAATTAAGGACTGGAGGCATGGCTCAACAGTAGAACACCTGCCTAGCAAGCTGGAGAACCTTATTCAAATCCCCACAGTGCCAAAAAAAGGAAAGAAATTATTCAAGATATTGAGATAGACACATATTAATTTTTGGTCCTCAAAGCTCTCAATTAACAATTAATCCTGTTAATAAATTGTCATCGTTACACAATCCTTTCAGCCCGATTTTTGTGGTTACAGTCTTGGGCTACCTACAAAATACAAATCAAGTTAACCTCCCAAATCAAAATTGAAGGAATCTGATACTAAAGAAAGGGAAATGATGGCCCTGAGATTTTACAGTCCAGCATTACACAAATGTCACTTAACCCTATTTCCCACCAAGACACCAATGGAATGCCAGTGCTTCTGAGAGAAACCTGGTCCAACAAGAAAACAAACTCTCCCCCATTTCAACCTGGGAAGCCTTGTGACACACTTAACTTCCTTTCACTGTGTTTAAGCTTGACCAATAAAGAGTTCAATCTGATATTGTCTGGAACAGTAACAGAACCTTCAAGACTGACAAACACCAGCACATATGAGGAACCAAATTTCACTACTCAGAACTGAGTCTTGAAATGCCCATCTCAGCTAATCACCATGCTTTCCTTCATTTGACTACTGCAGACCCCAGCACGTGGGGTGATCCAGGGACTCTAGGGACTGGCTCTCCACTTCTGGCACAGAGGTGACATGCGACAGACATCTGTGTTTCCCAGCCAAGGATGAAATAAGCAAGCCGCCAATAAGTAAGTACTCAGAAAGCCCGCATAGAGCCCAGTGTGCTCCTCCCAGTCAGCAGTAAAACCTAACAATGGCTTTCAAACTTCTTTTACTTCCTAAACATTTTTTTAAAATAAAAACAATCCCAAGGCATTTATTTATTTATCATCTGATGATAACACTAACAACGGGGTTCATCAAACAATATAAACAGATGTTTTCTTAGATTCCCAGCAAATAACACTAAAAAAAAACTGTATAAGATTCTTAATAACTTCTCACTTCATTGTCATTTCTAGTTGGGAGACACTTTGTAGTAGAGTAATATTGTCTCCTTTTAACATGATCCTATCCAGTTGTTTTCTTGACTTTGTTTTAGAATGAACTTCTTCTGCATCATCTAATACAAGTCAAAACCAGCTATGTGGCCCTCTACCAGCATGTTCACTTGCTCAGAGAGCCACACCTGAGTCCAAGATGTATTCTGTGAACATGTGAAAATGAGGTTGATTGGCTGCACCATCACCTTCTGCACCCTTTGGCCCTGGCAGCGGTATGCCATGGTGGAATCTTACCTACTTCCTAAACATTTTTTAAATTTTTTTATTGTAAAGACACTATACAGAGGGTTACAGTTACATGAGTAAGGTAATGAGTACACTTCCTATTGAGCATTGTTACCTCCTCCATTGTTTTCCCCCTACTATCCCTTCCCTCCCTACCTTCCCTGAGGTTCTTTTTTTTTAATTGTGATTAAGTGATTACATAATTTCCCAAATTTCACAGTATTGTGGAATAATGATGTTCATTTAAAGTCACAAGCTCATTTTAACTTCCTAAACATTTTTAAACATGCTTTCTCTATACTTGTTTTTAAACTTAAAAGCTTTCATCACTAGTGTAAAGAACTAGACAAATGTATGTTCCTGCTGTTAACTCTAGACTGTGATGTGTTTTTATACTTCTAAATGCATCCAATATAACATCATCAGATGACCTTTTCTCTTCCACTTAATACACTTTCCTAACAGCTCGGGGCTTGCATTATTCTCTTCTCTCCTTGAAATCCCCTATACCATCAGGGCCTCAGGGCCCCAAGATAACACAATGTTGGGTGTCAGGGAAGTTGATAATAATCTCTAAGTACCCTCAATAATCTATGTCTGGAACAAAACGATTACTTAACATTTTCATTCATAAAATATTCAAAGCAAAATTTTCTCAAGAATGGAGCCATTGCTGAGATTCAGGAGATTCTGCTGAGACTTTGCCCTCTTCTGGGTGGGTTGGGGGCAGGGCTCCTGCCCACCCCACAGAGACATGAGAGGGGAGAAGGAGGTCCCTCCCTGCGAGGGACAGGGCCAGACCACCTGTGCAGAAGTGGAGGGGCTGGAGGGCGGAGTCCTGAGACCACGCCCAGTTCTGCAGCGCCTCCATGAAGCCCCAGCACCACACATGCCCATCTGAGGACCAGCATGCATGGGTCTGGGGCATGGGTCTGGGCTTCTGCCCTGTTGTGGAAATTGAATACAATCACACAATTGTCTCTAGTTTGTTTTGGAAAACAAGTTAGAAAGCAATTGGTAGAAAGAGTCCTAAAGCAATCACGTACTGAGCATTTTTTGGACACCAGAAAATGTGTTAAATGTTCCATTTCATGCTCCTTTCCATTGCATCAAAATGCAGCCTTCTTTCCTTCCCTTTCCCCTCCCTCTTTCCTTCCTTCCTCCCTTCCCCCCACTCTCTCCTTCTCTCCCTCTCCCTCCTTTTCTCTTGGCAGTACTGGAGTTTGAAGTCAAGGCTCTCGCTGGCTAGGCTGGGAAGGTACTGCTGAGCCACAGCTCCAGCTCTGGTTCTTGCTGGTTCCTTTCAGGACAGGGCTCCACCACCTTTCCCACATGGGTGTGAGATCCCCCCACAGCGGGGGTACCACATTGCTGGGATGACAGGGGGACTACTGTCCAGTTTCCGTTCTTGCCCCAATGTGGCCTGCTACTATGAGTCTCTGAATCTCAGCCTCCCGTGTGGCTTGGGAAGACAGTTGCACCATGTCCAGCTATGTATTAAGACAGATGTCTCAAAATCTCTTCTTCCCTCCCTGGACTGGCCTTGAACCACCGTCCTCCCCTTCTCAGTCTCCCAAGTGACTGGGATTACATCAACACCTGGCTTAGGCCATGCTTTTGTGTGTGGGGGGGGGTGCTGTTCTGGGGCTTGAACTCATGGCCTGGGAGCTGTCCCTGAGCTTCTCTGATTAAGGCTAGTGCTCTACCACTTGAGACACAGCTCCACTTCCAGCTTTTTTAGTAGTTACTTAGAAGAAAGTCTTATGAACTTTCCTGCTTGGGCAGCTTCAAATTGTGATCCTCAGATCTCATCCTCCTAAGTAGTTAGGATCACTGGTGTGAGCCACCACTGCCCAGCTGGGCCATGCTTTTTATCCTACTACAGGAGTTAGGAACTCCTGGTTGGGCTTCCATCACTAGGCCCTTACTCCTGCTGGATCAGGGCCAATATGTTACACTTTTTTGGGGGGTGGAGGGGATGGAGGAGGGTACATTTATATCATGGAATGTTCTTAGCCTTCCCACCCTGCTGACCCCGAGCCAGCCTGTCAGCATTCACTCAGGGCACAAAGACTTCTTTTTATCTGTGTTTCAATAAGGGAGGAGACTGGCCAGATGCACCAAAGCCTTCAGCACTCCATCTGCTGAACCTCAGCGGGAATTTCAAAGGATTTCCTGCCTGGCGCACAGTCCTGTGCCAAGCCCAGCATTTCTGCAGGTGAGATCATGAGCAGGACTTCCTGCACCACTGGCTTCCCTGCCCTTGGGGCACAGGTCTGGAAGGCTCCTGGGGAGAAGGATGGAATATCTGTGCCAAGAGACCTGCCAAGGTCACAGCTGGTCCCCCTGGGGTCAGGGGTCCCATCCTGGCACCATGGGTCTGACCTCAGCTAAGGGGCTGCTGCTCTGAAGGGAAGAGAGGTACTTTTGAGAAAGGTAAAATAGCTATGCCTAGAACTATCACTCACTATCAGCACTAACTCAACAAAGGCTAAAAAAAAAATTCTACTAGCCAAACTCCTGCAGCGTATGCGCAATCATTATAACAGGAAAAGAAGAGGCCCAGGGAATGTTCTTGAGTCGTGATTAAGGAATCTAAGCAGGAGCTGGAAGGTGGCAGCTGGAGTTAGGACAAGGCAGTCCTCATGCCTGCCCCTCACCGCTGCCCTGTGTTCCCCAGCGGCCTGGACAGAACAGGTACCGATTGCTTCCACCAGAGAGCTAGTGCCATCACCTCCTTCCACGGTGTCTGGAGGTATAGGTGACAAGAGTCAGATGAGGGGAGGGACTGTGACCAGACCAAGGAGAAAAAGAATCATCTGCTGGACACTCTCAGGAAGCAGTAGAGACAGAGAACAGAAACAAAGAAGAATGTAACAGAACTACCTCAGGCAGAGATGGACTGAGAGCAAGGGAGGAAGGAGAGACAGAGGAAGAAGGGGAGGAGAAAGGAAAAGAGAGACAGTAGAGGGAGGAAGAGAAGAATGAAGAGGAGAGAGAGAGAAGCCAAGAAATGGGAATGAAACAGCACAACCTCAGGTACAGATGTGGAGGAAGCGGGGAGAAAAAAGGGGGAAGAAAAAGAACACGTACAATTATTTTCATACCAAATACCTCTTTTCCTTTGTTAAACAAGGACACTGTCTGGAATTTTTCTCATTCAAAATGGTGCCATTATCAGTAAATTTAATTCAAAGTCACTTGAAGACACAAGGTGAGTTTGGACACAAAGTGTCCAAAATGTTTTATCTGAACAGTTTCAAGACATACATGCTTTTGGCATCTTGCAAACATTTGCTCAGATGGTCTGAAGGACATCCAGTCCAGGTTATCACATACCCTCCATTTGTCACAGAGAGAAAACAAGCCAGCAGCCGCTCAGATCTGGGGTCCAATGTGGAGGGAAGGAAAGGCTTCCCACAGGGAGACCCGACCGCCATTTCTTACACATTCATTTCAGACTCTTAGCTCCAGCTGGGCTCAAAGAGCCAAACAACCCAGCTTGAACTTTCTTATTCCTCACTGGACTAAATTTAATTTCAAATGTCATCAGTAAGTAGGACTGCACTTGGGCATGGTGCTTAGCCCGTAAGCTCAGTT